GAAACCCAGCCACAGAACAAATGATCGTGCTCATAAAACAATATTTCTCCTGGGTGGGAATTGAACCCACGACTCCTGGCTTTGCAGTCAGGGTCACTATCCACTAGACCAACCCTGCCCGTCAGAAATACATGCTTAGTTCTTTATTTAAACAAACAAAGAACTCAGCAATATCATGGTAGAGTAGGTAAATAATTCCGTCTGTATTGCACGTGTTTTGACGGTTCGTTGAACAAGTTTGGTTAGTTTGACCGCCTTTTACTTTTAAATGTGTGACTCGGGGCAGAAATATTTGTATATTAAACTACATTGCTGCTTGTCCACTTTTGGATAAAGTGGGATAGAAATACTAGCCCTGGCCGACTGATTCATCAACGCAGAGCCTAAACCACTGGGGTTTCTTGTTTTCCACCATGAGGAAGAGTTTATTACAATTTATATTCTTCAATTTGGTACAGAAATATAAGGTGCGTATTACTGTCTGAATTTGCGTTAAAATATATTTGAAAGCAATAATACTTATGAAGTTAAGTAGTAGGTGATACGAGATAAAAGTGTTAAGAATATATATATATACAAGCATTTGCCACGTGGGTTCTGCCCGGTAAAAAAAAAGCCTATGTCTTTCCTCAAGAATCAAACTATTTCCAAAATAAATTTAATCAAAATTGTTTCAGCGGTTATTGATTCTCCATACAAACTTTCACCCCCCCTTTTCACTCCTTAAAGAATGATTTCTGAGATAAAAAGTATCCTATGTCCTTTCTCGGCACGCGAATTATATCTATACCAAATTTCATCCAAATCACTTTAGCGGTTTAACCGTGAAGAGGTTACAGACATATACACTTTTGCATTTATAATATTAGTTTGGATATTTTAGAAATTTTAATTACAGTAGCGGTGAGTGTGCGTAGAGAGTTTGGTTAAGAATAATGACTGTTTTGTGGTTATTTGTATTAGGAAATATGAGAGTGTATTTAAGCGCGTTATGTTTTATAATAATTTTTTTAATAAGACAACTCCCGCATTAGGAATGTATCCTGTGTCGCGGGGGACTTTACAAACATAGGTACATGAAACGGACAAAAAGAACGTCAAATTAACTCAAACCGCTGGGTCTACAAACTTGAAATGTTCGCAGCTGATGCTTTTTATGTTGAGGTAAGGATTTTTAGAAATTTTAACCCTAAGGGGGTAAAATAAAGGGTTGAGCGATTGTATTGAAGTTCGTCATTTTCAAAGTAACAAACACAAAATATGAAATGATCACGAAACTCTTTTTGGTTTAGTACTGAGCTCTTAAAAATTACAAGTTTCTGTAACAGCTGTATACGGTGTTTATGGGCAGAAGGTGGGACTTTATGATATGTAGACCTTATGATACCTTGGACTATTTAAAACAGTGTCCACTGTATCATATGTCTTATGATTTAGTGGACTTTATGTGACTAAAGAAATATACCTATATATAAATATATGGACCATATTATTGTGTTTTTATTTTATTTATTTTCTTAGATATAATAAAATAACAATAATAAATAATACCATGAATCATATAACCCTTCGTTATTTAAATAAAAAAACGAAACAGGTTGTATCGTGGGCTCTAGAACACAGGTATATTCATATTAAGAAACATGTTTTCTAAACATGTGTTGATAACTGACAAAACATTCCACAATCGTATAGTTTCATCGACGACCTATATGTCATTGAAATTTATGGAATGCTTAACATTTATCTAGGCAACCGTTATGCGAGATTAAACAATTTTGAAGTAATATTAATAAAAACTATGCCACTTTTAATATATTCGGTCTTAGGTCTATTTAATTTCGAATGGTATAAATTTTTACATAAAATTATTTTTTAATTTAGAACTGTTAAACACATAGAGAACTGGTCAGCGTTTATGCCATCGCGTTTAAAAGATAAAGTCTATTTATAAGCAAGAATATCAAAAGAACAGGTTTCAAAACAAGTTAAAAAGAGGCATGCCGTTATGTAGGTATCCGTTTTAATACTACGAAATTACATACTAACTTTTTAATTCACGCCTGTATAGCAAAAGGATTAGGCAGAATGATTCTTAATAGACACTATGCTTCAGAGGCAAGTAAATCAAAAAATATTTTAAACTAAAAACACTGTAAATTACAAAAAAAAAACCGGTTAATCCGTTTAGGAGCTATTACACCACAGAGGGACACACAAATTGACGATTTAAACTTGTAATACCCATCCCTTTGTAACATAGGGTTAAAATATAACCTATGGAAAACAGATTGTACCACCGTTCATATCTATTAAATTCATTTGGTTATTATATTCCGTGTAGTGACGGATTAAGAATACGGAATGTCACTACCCCAATTCATCCCGTGGGTGTCGTAAGAGCCGACTAAGGGCGCAATACGCAGGATACCAGCACTGCAGAGATAAGGAAAACTTGACACAAACCCTATACCAACCCGTCTGGCCAGCGTGGTATAGTAGGCCAAAACCTCCTTTTTAAGGAGAGGCCTATGTCCAGCAGTGGACTTATTAAAGGCTGTTGATGTGATGTGATAATGATGATTAAATTAGATTGGAGTGAAATTTCTGCCAAAATTTCAAGTTAAGCGGTTTTGGCCCTGTGTTGATGAATCAGTCAGTAAGAGCAAGTAATTATAGTCCCATGTGGGAATCGGACCCACAACACATAGCGTAGTAGTAAGCGGCGTGGCGACCGCTTAAACCACTACGCCATCTGTGCAGTCCATTTATATGTAGAGACTATGTGGCCTGCGATTTTTTGTCTACGTCACATAAAAGAAAGAGATTTTAAAGACATGCTCTCATGGATTTAATTTAACAGTTTACGCAACGCAAAAGGAATAATTTTCCCCGTTTTTACTACATTTTTCGTTGCTGCTTCACTCCTATTTATATATACCGCTTATATACAGACTGCCTCGGTGGTGCAGTGGTAACGTATGCGACTGCTATTCTGAGGTCCTCGGGTTCGATTCCCGGATCGGATGTAATGTTTGTATGATCTGAAAATATTTTGTTTCGGAGTTTGGGTGTTTTCTATGTAAAATATGTATGTATTTACAAAAAAAAGTATGTAAGTTATTTGTCAGTTAATCCAGCTTTCATAGTACAAGCTCTGTTTAGTTTGAAACTAGATGGCGTTGTGTGTAAAATGTCCGAAATATTATTATTATTAAAGGTCATAGCGTGATATTATATATCCTTTAACATTCCTCGATAAATGGGCTATCCAACACTAAAATAATTTTTCAATTCAAACCAGTAGTTCCTAAGATTTAAGCGTTCAGCCAAACAAATAAACTTTACACCTTTATAATATCCTATCATAGTTTATGTTGTTCATAATATGTCGACGGAATGTCAATATAATGACATTATTAAAGTACGTTACATTACAATGTCAACCTTTTTATTAAAACATATGTTGATATTAACGGCGGCGTGTACGTGTTTGATTATAATTACTTGATCACGTCTCAAATCTATATAGGTACTAGCTGACCCGGCAAACGTTGTTTTGCCATATACATTATTTAAAAAAAAAAAAAAATGTAAAAAAAAAATTGGGCTATGAAAAATAGATGTTGGCCGATTCTCAGACCTTCCCGATATGCACACAAAATTTCACGAAAATCGGTCGAGTCGTTTCGGAGGAGTTCAACTTCTAAAACCGTGACACGAGAATTTCATATATCACGAGTAGATATATGTTGGTTTGTGTACGCTTCAAAAAGTCTAAGTTCTACATTGATTAAGCTCAAATTTTGACACGATGTCCCTCCCGCTTTAAAGATGGCGTTGATCTATTTTTCGCACGAGTTTTGTTCTGTTATTTCTCATCAATGCATCTACAATATGCCACTGCGAAACGTGGCAGGGTATCTAGTACGTTATAACAATACCGGCTGTAAGATTTCACCCTTTGCTGTTGAAAATTGTAGTTGAAATAGATAAAAACCATCTTTAAAGTGTGTTGTATTTCGTGTCAAAATTTGACCACAATTGGTGCTGTACTTTTTTAGATTTTGAAGCGTACACTAATCAACATTTTTATATCTGGATTAATACTTAACTTTTGAAAAAAAAGATCACCGAATTCTAAACAAGTTACCTGATTTTTAGCTTAATGGGTGGGTGTTTTACTTTCCAAGAGTAGGACCAAACAAGATTTTTTTCTTTTTAAATAGGTACATATATATAATGAAAAGCATATTCGAAATCGGATTATAATCGACGAAATTCTGGGGTAAAAACATGAAAAATAACATACAGCCGTATTGAGAACCTTCGCGTTTTTTTAAGTCGGTTAAAAATAACATAACCGACTTAAATGTCCCAAAATCACGCAATTACGCGCTCTAGTTACAAAATTTCTACAAAAAATCATCTAAAAGAGGAAAAAAATTCTAACAAAACCTACCCACTTGATAAGAGTCTCTATTGTTCTATAGTCAATTAAAAAGAAAATATGTGTGTTACATAAGTCAAAATTTTAAAAGTAAAAAAAATAACACGAAATTTTTTCATAGTTACATCATAGTTCTACACGAAATCGCTGTTTCGTAAACATTTATTAAATATTCTTCTTTAATTTACTGATTTCTATAAATTCGCTTCAAATATTAACAAGAAACCTCACTCTAGACCAAATATTTAACCCAGGGCTCTCGACCGTTGACAATGAATGCCACCACTCTACCGAAACAGAACACCAATCTAGCATAACAATAAAAAACAAAACTTAATCTCGGCTGCAACAGATATCGAAAAAACTGTTGCAATTTCTTAATAAAGCCAAACCGCCAAGGTTTAAGTAACACAAAGTACGTGAAATTTCACGTAAATCCATCGGAAACCACTATTATTAAAGGTCACGCAATTACTTAATCACACACGCAACACAATAAAAAAAATCACAAAACGACTTTTTTTTTTTTTTGTAAAAGTAAAACACTCACTTATCCTTCTATTAGACTTCACATAATCGACCATGCGTCCGAGCGATCTCTTCGCCATTGTTGAAATGCGCTTTTATTTTCAAAATTTCGAATTTAGAATTGTAACCGATTGGTCAGTGCCGCATCTCGGGCGAATGCGCGGGAGTGACTGGACGGTGTCGAGCGAAACGGTAAGTTTTACGTTGAACACACCGTTTTTTAGAGTTCCGTCGGTGTTCGCCTTGTTTTTCGTTGACGTGGTTACTTTTATGTTCATTTAGTAGACGCGCATGACACAGACAGCTCGTATACACTTATAAATACATGGGTGTACTTTGAGTGAGCCTTGTTAATAATAAAAATTAATAAAAATAATCCAGAGCTATATTAGTTGGCAGAATTTTTTTGCATAGTTTTTACCGGAGTGGACTTCCCACAAGTCTTTTAGAAACAACATATTACTGGAAACCCCATTGATATTACGACGGTTTGGATAACCCGTTACCATTATATTAAAATTTATTTGTTATCTGACTTTGTGTTCAAAGAAAAATAATAAAAACTAAAATTAAATTGATCCATCCTTCCTAGAGCTATGAAGCCACAGACAGACACACAGCTGTGTATATCGATGTGCCTGTCACACACAACACCCCACCTTTTTAAAGCATCGAAAGAATTACTTAGCAAGCAACGTATATAAATAATATACTAAGACACATTTAGAATTATGAATCATCACTTAAAGTTAAAAACATTGTCTTGTGCAAATGTTTATATGTTAAAAAGCACTATTTGTTCTGTGAACGGAAAACCCAGACCAGCTTTATAGCAAACTGAAGGTCAAGTAAAATTATGAAGCAGCAACTTACAGAGGAATACCATTTTTGGCTCCAACGGCGATTTTACTATGACAGAAACCATTTAATTCCTATGAAGAGAGCCAAGACCAAGCCAAGATTTGTTTACCACGCACAAGAGTCTAAAGATCGAACTGTTCATTGACAATTACTTCAGTACTGCAGATCCTTCGTATAGAACTTCACATACGGCATATGTCGGCGAGTACGACAATTATGCGATAAGCAGACATCAGGTTTTATTGACGTCACAAGTGAACGGAATCGTTTGGAGGGCTGATGGTTGTGTTATGAGTTCAGATTGATGATTCAGAATCTCTCAAGCGAAGACTACAACTGATAACTTAAAAGTACTAAGTAAGAGGCTAATAAAGAATTTAGAAGAGCTATTCATGATTAGAGATTTATTCTTGGTGAGTGAAGATCAAGAAACGACAATATTTTACAAGCATAGGAAGGAGATGCCAGATTCAACGTAGTGTAGTACGCCCACAGGCCAGGTGAAGTGACGATTTGCGCAAGATGGCTGGCAGAAGCTGGATGCTACCCAATCGATCTAACTGGCGTGCAATGGGAGAGGCCTATGTCCAGCAGTGGACTGCGATAGGCTGATGATGATGAAGGACAAGCCTGGATGATAAAATAACTCTAATGAGAGCCATATATTATTCAAACAAAATGATAGCGTCTAAGTGACAAAACGCAAGCCAATACCTGTATTATAATCAAATTCATAATACACAACTCAAGTATCATAACATTTAGATGTTCGAAAGTATACGAGTAAGCGTTGAATACCTAATTGTTATCAAACATTCACTACCTACTTCTGTTTATATATAGGACTTCATCGCAGTAAAGACTTTCCTAGCTCCTAGTCAAAATTCAGTTAAACATTTATTTAATAAATATAATTAATAGAACACAATTTGGAACACACCAGCATCATCGTCTGGCTGCAGCATCAAGTCAAAGTTACTATATCATGGCAATACCACTAAAGTAACAGTACACTAAATTTCAAATCAACCGGACTTGTGTGAGTTCGTGAGATGCCTTCATCAAATAAAAAATGAGTCTGGTGGTCTGGTGGTCTGATGGTCTTAAGTTATAGCCAAAAACGTTCTCGATCAGCTTTGAAACAAAAAAAAAGTGCCATAATCGATCCAATCGTTTAGGAGCCAGTCGATACTGATCTGTTTTTAGGACATCTCCAGCTATTCACCATCACGTTACGACTTTTAAGAACAGAGCAGTAATTTATAGAATAGGACCTACCGGTGAGATTGATAGTTTACATTTCAAGTTTTCCTATTTTACCTGCCCAACTCTTTTCAAAAATTATACAGAACCCAATAAATTCTGACCAACTCAACGAATAAAAGCGCTGCCCAATCGCAGTTTACTGAACTAGTAGAGTGCTAAATCATAGTGAATGGTATTAAACGTGTGGGCATGCGGTAGGGGGATATTGCAATAGGCTCCGAAGTGGGGGGTCGTGTAAGATACCCCCGAGGAGCGCGTGCTGTTACGTCACGAGGGGACATAATTGAACTTAGATGACCGAATACATCATTACAGTGGAAATGTAAGAGATTTGTAATGTATTTTATGTGAAATCTGTTTCGACATATTTAGATGAGCCTTAGGTTAAGCATCACATCAAGCCTTTAATTGTCCACTGCTGGACTTAGGTCCCTCCTTAGATAGGAGGTTTTGGGCCTAGTGTACCACGCAGGCCAGACGGGTTGGTATAGGGTTTGTTTTAAGTCTCTTTGTAGTGCTGTCCTGCGTGGTAGACTCCCTTAGTCGTCTCTTACGTCACCCATGAGATGATTAGGGGTTTTTTGTTTTGTTTTAATAAAGACAACTCCCGCACTAGGAATAAATCCTGTGTCACGGGGGACTTTAAAAACATACATGAAACGGACACAAAGTACACCCAGACTCAGAACAACAATTTGTGGATCACACAAAGTGTTGTTCCATGTGGGGTTTGAACCCACAACACTTGGCGTAATAGGAAGCGGCGTGGCGACCGCTTAAACCACTACGCCATTCGTGCAGTCATGTGGGTAGTGACACTATATATGATACTAGTCTGGCCAGAGATTATAGTAAAGCAAAACCTCCTTTCTAAAAAGAGGCCTATGTCCAGCAGTGGACTACTAAAAGCTGTTCATGTGATGGTGTGATGCTTAACCAAAGACTCATTATTATACACTCACTCACATATATTGAAACAGATTTCACATAAAATACATTTTATATAGTATAGTATAGTATAGTATGGTAGTATAGTATAGTATAGTAGGCCAAAACCTCCTTTATGGCCACATGTCCAGCAGTTGACTAATAAAGGCTGTTCATGATGATGATGATGATGAAAAAGTAGGCGTTTGATAGCCTCTGTCTGTCCCTTTGGAGCTAAAACATGTGAGCATATATGTATATACATACTACCTTCACGGTTAGTTATTTAGAAATCGTATTGTTGTTTAACCAAGCGAGTAAAGTCAATACTACTGGGAGTATTATTATTATTGTGTAACACATAATACTGGCTTATATTTGCACAGCTAAAGATATGCTCGAGAATTGAAAACAAGACACGGCAATTTAATGCAATAAATATGTATACGTATACGCCCACAGGCCAGGTGGAGTGACGATTTGCGCAAGATGGCTGGCAGGAGCTGGATGCGAGATGCCCAAAGTCGATCTAAGTGGCGTGCAATGGGAGAGGCCTATGTCCAGCAGTGGATTGCGCAGCGTATTTTACTAATTACATTTTATACATATGGTATATCAAGTGTAAGCGAAGCCGCGGCTTAAACTTATCCAATTACGAAACTGCACTGAGATACTACTGATGGAGTTAAAACACCGTAAACCGATATTGGGCAATATTTATTTAGATATAGATTATTTTTTTGTTAGCCGCTTTGACACAGTTCGGGTTCGAACCGGTGACCTTTAGGGTAAATGGTGCTGCACCATGACGACCTCTAAAGAGAGAAAAAAGGCATTGACATTATGTACTCAACTATTTAGTAAAGCTTTTTTTTATGCAAATCGAGGAACGCTCTACCTAGATTTAGGGAGGGAGGAGGGGGGGGGTCAAGGGTCCTTGTGATTCCGATAAGCTTACCTACTCGGTGCAACATGAGTTACTCAAAACCGGTTTTCAGCATGAACAGGAAGAAGTGCAAGAAGTGGAAGCATGGCTCTCCCATTATACAAAAAGAATTATGGGTTCAACCCTTTAAGTATTATTTATTTATATGAAACTGTGTAACCACATACACATTTCCACTGCATGCTCACTACTCTGAGTGTTGTGGGTTCGATCCCCATTGGACGACACTTTGTGTGATCCACAAATTGTTGTTCTGAGTCTGGGTGTTCTTTGTGTCCGTTTCCGTCCGATAAAACAAAGGTCGCGGGTTCGATTCCCGCTCAAGTCAAACATTTGTGTGCATGAACATTTAATGTTTGATTTGGTCTGGGTGTTTCTATGTATAATATGTACGTATTTACAACAAAAAAGAATATATGTATTTATATCAGTTGTTTAGTACCCATAGTACAAGCTCTGCTTAGTTTGCGACTAGATGGCGTTGTGTGAATGTTGTGGAATATTAAATTATTGAACAAAAAAATGTATGTCTGTAAAGTCCCCGAGACACAGGATACATTCCTAATGTGGGAGTCAAAAAAAATCTACATTAAGAGTAGGTATACATGGCACCCCCTATTTAGTAAATTACGCGAACGGAGGAATGTCAAAGAGGGGCAGAAAGCTAAAACTAGCCTAACGTGATTGGTTTCTTATTTAGTGTTTCTAACTTTGAAAATGACGAACTTCCATACAACCTTTCATCCCTTATTTTACCCCCTCAGGGGTAAAATTCCAAAAATCCTTTCTTAGTGGGTGCTTACAACATAAAAACCATCAGCTGCCCAAATATCAATGTTTTTACCTCAACGGTTCAGGCTCTGCGTTGATGAATCAGACAGTTACGGCAAGTCACTTTATATGAATAGACTAGCTGAGACCCGCAGTGTTACCCGCGTTTGTTGTTATAACCGCGGACAACGCCGCGGGGCGAAGCTAGTCTAAAAAAAGTAGCCTAAGTTACTCCTTATGTCATCAACTATCTGCCAGTTAAAGTCCCGTCGAAATCGGTCCAGCCGTTTCAGATATTACCCGGAACAA